TGAAGGTAATGATTTTGTTTTGCAGATGCATTGAGCAGGAACTACCAAAAACCCAGAGAGATTGATGACACTATTAAGTGTGGTCAATCTTGTTTTTTACCAACTACAGAAACAGAACAGATTCTATAACCTCAACCTTACACCCTAAAGAAAAAAAGAAGGCAAACTAATTACCAAAGACCAGCTTTAAGAGCAACAATATAGGAAGAACAGCTCTGCTAGGATTACAGTGAATTTACAACAGAGACCACAAAGATAACTGATGACTCCATACAGCCAGAGGGTTACAGAAAGTATATTACAGTGACCACAGCATACACAATGCATCATAATCTCACAATGTATCTCAAGACACCTAAGTATCATGACTGTAAAATGCTAAAGATGCAAAACGACGATAAAATGGCCAAGAAAGGTTTTACAGTACAGACCTTGACAAAAAATCACGGTCAATACATGAAAGAATACAGAGCTTTAACCTAGGAGATTACTATTCCAGGCTCATACGAATCAACAAAGTCAGCAAGAGAAAGATACAGACCATCATACAGATCAGCATACGATTTACAAGATATCCCAGGGGACTCAGTGTCCAACATCGTGCCGAGCTGATGATTTAACAGAATTTGTACACTTCAGCAAAGCATTTTTATTCAAGCACACAACTGCATCATTAAAGTTCCCTCAATCAAATGGAAGAGCAGAGGGAAAGTTAAGGCAGCAAAGTCGCTGCTGCAAAATACAAAGGCAGACCACCACAACACACAATGTTCACATTGTTACTGTGGCATGCAGTTGTTAGTATTTGTGTCACTGTGCCTATGTGTCCAGCCTCACAGAGTTCTGTAGCGTTTAGCACATCTTTTTAAAGATTTTGAAGAGGAATATATTTAATAATTTCGAGTCAACTCACTGTTTTTGTCGCTTTATAGTCGAGCTGTTGTTGTTCCATAACGCAGCAGCCTCTGAACCTGACAAAGAATCCAAACCTTCACATCTTTCACTTTCACTTATTAACATCCGATTTGAAATGATGCCGTTCCCATAATCTGACCAGCAGAAGTATTGCAACATTATTGTAATTTTTTAAGGAGAGGTGTAGTTACTCCTATTAGGCCTATAGTGGTCCTATATATTTAACAGTATAAAATAAATTGGAACTAAAAGTAGCTTTTTAAAATATGCAATTCAGAAATGGTTTATAATATACCAGATTTTTGGATTGTCTTCTCAATAAAAACATATTGTGTTGCGGCACTCATCTCGGCCTCATTCCATTAACCTATACTGAAAAAGGAGGCAATCTAATGGATAACAAATAAGGTTTCTGACTGTAATGTGCTCAGCATTATTATACTGTATGTTTGAGGTTCATATACTACTTAAAGCAGCTCTTTACCTCTGAGATTGTTACATAAAGTCTTTATTTCAAACACAGATGCTAAATGTACTGGTTTTAAGTTTCCATCTATCTGTTCATACTGTCAGCATCCGGACTTCCAGACTGGACTGACTGGCAGCTCAATGATAACATGATCAATGTAACTGCAGGGCCTTGGGCATTGTGCAAAGGTAAGGTGCTACAGAATGACTTCCTGACAACTTCAGTGAGAAGATGTTACTGTAAAGCAAACCTCTAGAAGAAGAAATGAGTCCAGATCACAAAGTATGAGATTACTTTATTCTACAATTCAAAAGCCCACATTCTGATATGCTTATATATTAATTCGAAACTAAACAGTGAAATTACATCCAGGGGAGCAGGAAGCATGTCTCATCAGGACAAGTATATACTGTAACATCAGAGCAGCACATGGTTGTTCGACCATCAGGAAAATGAAAAGAGAGAAATTATGCAATCACATTTATGTACATGCATCAGTAACATAGTTTACATTGAGTTAAAGAGCCATTAGATGAGGATCGTGTGAATGTTAGTTAGTTAGGGTTAAGGTTAGGGTTAGAAAGAGAAATCCTTTTTCCTAAGGTATCCCTTGTGGGGATTTCCTGGGAAAAAGTGTGTAAATGGATGGTAAATGGACCTGTACTTGTATAGCGCCTTTCTAGTCTTCCGACCACTCAAAGCACTTTTACACTACATGGCACATTCACCCCTTCACACACATTCACTCAGTGATGGCAAAGCCCATCAAACAGAAACTAACTCATTCATACACATTCACACACCAATGCATGGCACTGGGATCAATTCAGGGTTCAGTATCTTGGTCAAGGATACTTTGACATGTCGACAGCCGGGGATCAAACCAACAACCTTCCGATTAGGGGACACCCCGCTCTGCCTCTGCGCCACAGCCGCCCAGGTGTATGCTGGCCATTTTGCTGTTGTTTTTATTCTGAGAAAAATACAGTTTGTGCCCTGGTGTGTTTTAATAATTCCCAATGTTTAGACCGTGGGGGAATCTGGTGGTCAGAGTCGTTCTGCTTTTTTGTCCAATTTATGTTGTGTTGTACTCCTGTTATTTCTAATGACCCTACTTATGACCATACTATGGTTAATAAAGTGTGCCACTAGATGTGTGTGTGTGTGTGTGTGTGTGTGTGTGTGTGTGTGTGTGTGTGTGTGTGTGTGTGTCTTTGTGATTTTTAATGTTATATATGTGTTGTGGCAGTCTGGTTTTAATTGTGTTGCCTGTTTCCCCTACGTATGAGATGTCGCAGTGTTTACACTTTATGACATATACGCAGTTGTGTGTGTTGGTCGTTAGGGTCTGTTTAATGGGGTATGTGGTGTTGTTTGTATGGTTTTTAATTGTTTTATTTTGACTAAAGTAATTTGGGTCTTGTTGATGAATTGTGTTTAGTTCTGGGAGTTTACTTTTGACTAGTTAGTCTTATAGGTTTTTGTTCCTCTTGTAGGCCGAGATTATTCTATAATCATGGAGCATGTTTTTGTTTTGTATTTTTTGCGTGAAATTGTTCTTAATGTGTTTGTTTGCTGCTATGCTATATGTCGAGTAGGTGGTGATTAATGGGATGATTTTTCTTCTGTCCTCTGGTTTTATGATGAGGAAGTCCTTCCTGATTTGTCTGAGGAAGGGGTAGGGTTAGTTTTATTTTTCCTCATCTTTAAACAACCTTGAGAAGAGGAAAGCTGCAAAAAAGAAAAGAAAATGTAAGTGTCAAACTGTATAATAACTCTATTGTACAAACAAACATATTGAATGAATATTGAGGTTGGGTATATCATTCTCAAGCAAGAAAGATGACCAGATGAAAATGTGTTTTTCAAATATCCAAAAAAAAGTATTTTAAAATAAAATCACTAAATGTATCATATTTTTTATGTTAAAGTGCTTCATCGCTCAAATAAACATTTACTCCAGCTGGTTTTTTTTTTCTTTTCTTGTTAAAGTGACCAAATGATCATTTGAAGATGGAAATAATCTTTTAACATCCCATTTGAACACACTCAAAGAATAGCATTAAATACTTAAACTTCTAAATATCAGTTACAGACCATTTTTTTATGTATTTTTTTCCTTTATTACCTATTTATTATTTTGTAATATTATTATTATCATTGTTATGTTAACTATTATTATTATTATTATTATTACTATAATTGTTTTTGTTTTTTGTTGTTTAGTTTTCTCTCCAGTCCAATACACACAATCATACACAACACAATGTACTATAATACACTAATTTAATTATCACTATCATTATGATAATTATTATGACCATTTCAGCCTTGTTTGTTTTGCATGTGTACCATAACATGTTCTGCACGTCACCCTGTTTGCCCTTGTGTATTTTATCCCTGTTTAAATCATTATGATGTTTAATTTATGACTAAACTTTATAAAAAATTATATTACACAAATATTTTATTAGTCACTATAATAGATTAAAAGAATTGTTTGGAGTAAATGAAGAAATCATTCTGTGAGCAAGATATTGAAACCTGGGACACTCCCCGGTTGTCCTCCTCGGCTGAAACTGTGCCTCCAAGTCTTACTCTCCCAAAAAAATCCTCTTTATTCTGACCTTAAAACTAAGGCCAGCATAAATAAACATGATCATGTTTCATGGATTAATATTATATGATACAAGAAGGATGTGATTACCTCTTTTCGGACCATCTTTACTGAGTTTTTATTGCGAGTGCAAGACAGAAATCCTTTTGTCTCATGAAATAGACAGTCCACAAGGAGTATGACTGCACGGTTGTTCATCTGTCGGTTGTTTGGTAGAGTGTACTCTTTGTCAAAGGTGTGATGCATCGCCACCACAATCACTCTCTTACATTCTGACGCTTTGATACAGACAGAAAACATAAATCAAAGTTTGCATCTAACAGACAAAACATGATGTAATATTTTTATGTGCTTTGGGGTTTCTGCAGGTTTACCTTCAGCGCTGGATAATGCTGAATTAATATCAGTCTCAAAGCGACTGACAATGGGACAAAAGACGATAGTAGTCACATTTCTTCCTGCCATGGGTGAATCGACTATCTTTACACCTTTTTTGGTGAGCTTTTTAATAAACTGCTTATGACACCCCAAAGTGTTTCCAGCTACAAGTATGTGAGCCTTCGGCATTTTTCCTGAAAAAAACAAAAACAAATAGTACAGTTTTACTAGAGCCCCTTTTAACAATAAGCTTGATACTTTTGATGACTTTTCCCTAATTTTAAGAGCGTATCTAACACAAGTAATATCATGTTTCATCTACAGAAAAGACCTCAGCTGTAACAAAATGACTGATTATTGTTATTCATACACATATAGCAATAGTGTCTGTGAGACCCTAATGGTTGAGGAGTTAAAGCCAATGTCTAAACAAAACTTTTATTGTCTATGTTATCATCACTTTTTTTTCCAATAATCCCCAGTGGCCTAAGGGACTGTTTGGTATTTATCAGAGGGGATGGCTGAGGTATGACTTTGTTTTTTGTTCTGACCCTCCCCAGAGCTACAAATATTTTTCCTTGAGCCTCCCCGAGTCACAGGGAAAAAACATGACCCTCTCTCCACCATAAATAACCACATTTTATTATATTCACACCAAATGATACTACATTCGAGTGGACTGAACTAACACATTGGGTTTTATAGTGCAATAATTTGCTCAAACCTCAGTGGGCAGGGAGCCAAGGATAGGGTAGTAAATGAATACACAGTCTGACATGTTGGACACAGCCTACACAATCAACCCACAGATGACAACAAACTACAAGTGTGCAAGCAGCAATGTGTGGCCTGTCCTTACTACAATAACTAATCACAAACAACAGTATTTCTGAAAAAGGTATAGCCAGCATCTAGAACAGCCTATGAAACAACTTACCAATGATGTTTTTCATCAAAATATATCCACTGTAACCTACATTAAATGTCCAAAAACTCCAACACGTTAATATTTTCACTTGCTTGGCTAGTTAATAGCAGCGAGACAATATCCAGACATGGAAGGTTAGTTATTGAGAGTGAGGAGAAGTTTGTGAGGGAACATGAGGCCACAAGAAACTTCCTCTGCTCTTTCATCTCAGTGCTCCTGCCATACACACACATACAGACAGAGAGAGAGAGAGACTGACATCGGTAATAAGGATGTCATGGAGTTTTCTTTTACACTTTTTGGTTTGTAAAAACAACTAGAATACAGCAGACAGTCGGCAAGCTTTTAAAACTCCTGGGGTTGCGTGCTCAGCGGCCAATACAGTGTGTGTGAGTGGCAGGGCCCCTATTGAGGGGGTAGTAAGGGGTGGAATCAACGACAATACAAACAGGCCACAGTGCTGTGGTGTTGTTGATGTAGGCTGCATACCGTTGAGAATTCCTTGGCGGTGGAGGGGACCAATCTCTGATCTGCAGAAGATACAGACAGGTGAGCAAAGGGAGAGTCTCTTTTCTGCATGGATGTATTAGAAAAAAGGACACCAAGTGTGAGTGAGGGCATCATACCACAAAAGGTGTTTAAACAAAATTTAAACTGAACACAAAATATAACATTTTAAAGTTGTATGTCCCTCCCCTGTTGCCAAAATAAAAAATGTCTCACTCCCCAGTGTTAAAAAATAATTTCATTCCCTTGTTTTGAGCAACCCTCTCCCCTCTCATAAATAACAACAGTCACTAAAAGATTTTAAAGGGGTTTCATATATGCAACAAAACCAATGGTGGAAAGTAACTAAATACACCTACTCAAATGTTATATTATAGCCTACTTAACACCATTTCAGAGGGAAGTATTGGACTGTTCTCTCTACTATTAGTCAACTGACAGATTCACATTTTAAGGGTCTAGGCCTTCTAGTTCTGCAGTAAAATGCCTCCTGTTACTGACATTAATATATCGGCTATGACATTATTAGATTGTGAATGTGTAAGTAAGTACTTATTTGAGTAGATTTTGCTGACAATATCCTGCTGTAAATAAGTTTTTGAATCCAGAAGTTTGAAGGAATTACTTTTTCCGCTTTAGAGTATGGGCCCGGAGATATTTTCAGGCATATAGCCTAGTTTGAAACCATTTGTCCAAGACATGGGATGGAGTTCTGTAGCGTTTAGCACATCTTCTTAAAGATTTTGAAGAGGAATGTATTTAATAAGTTCGCGTCAACTCACTGTTTTTGCAGCTTTATAGTCGAGCTGTTGTTGTTCCGTAACGCAGAAACCTGACAAAGAATCCAAACCTTCACATCTTTCACTTTCACTTATTAACATCCGATTTGAAATGACGCCCTGTTTGTGCATTCCCATAATCTGACCAGCAGGTGTCAGTATTGCAACATTATTGTACATTTTTAAGGAGAGGTGTAGTTACTCCTATTAGGCCTATAGTGGTCCTATGTATTTAACATATGAAGTATAAAATCAATTGGAACTAAAAGTAGCTTTTTAAAATATGCAATTCAGAAATGGAAGGTTTATAATATACCAGATTTTTGGATTGTCTTCTAAATAAAAACATATTGTGATATTGAGACACTCGTCTCTGCCTCATTTCATTAACCTATACTAAAAAGGAGGCAATCTGATGGATAACAAATACGGTGTCTGACTGTAATGTGCTCAGCATTATTATACTGTATGTTGGAGGGTTTGGAATTGACTCATTACAACCATATTCTACCTTTAGCAGCTCTTCACCTCTGAGATTGTTACATAAATTCTTCATTTCAAACACAGATGCTAAATGTACTGGTTTATAGTTTCCTCTATCTGTTCATACTGTCAGCATCTGGACTTCCAGACTGGACTGACTGGAATCTGAGTAGTCTTTTTCTAGCTACATTCATGTTATAACACTGTATTAATTGACATTCCGACACACAAACATGACTGTGATTGCATGAGTGTCACTAAATAAAACAACTCAGTGTGTGTACTGTTTCACAGAGGGGTGTAAACTGTATCCGTTGGAGTGATTCCTCATCCATCTGTAATGCAAGGTTGTCTGGATCATCTGTATCCGTACATGGCGTCTGATCAGAGTCAGGACGAGCTGACGTTTCCCCCTCAGGCTTTTCTTGCCTGTGACAAATGAGCAGTGCTGCTGATGGAGTGGTCAGTGGGCACGCAATGGCCTTTATTCACTGATCTCCAAAAGGGGAGCAACAGTATTAAGAAAAACACACAGCTTTCATAGACACATGGTTTGTTTTTCCATAAAACGTACATCTTGTCCTGTCACATCAGGAGTCCTTGGAGATTACAGGATTCTCAGAAGCACCCCTGGGTGTAAACTTATGCTAAAACCAACCTTCTTTCAACACGAAATAAATAAATCTCAACATGCAGGAAACAATCTATGTTCTCTTTATTTTCTCCACAGAGGACATGTGTCTTTTCCTATATGATTTTCCTGTTTAAAATGACATTGAAAAAATTTGTCCCACTCTGTCATAATATATCAGTCTAAACACTGTATTCCACAATGACCTAAAACAAGACATATGTTCTGTAAATTAAACTAAGGGTAAACCAATTTTAGGTATCAGCATCCTTGATAAAAAACAAGCGGCAGGAACAAGCACACTCAGCAGAGGTGATTATAACATTTAATCACTGGGCCCTATCGCCAAGCTTTGCAGGCTTCTTGCCCCAAGGTTTGATTTACCCGCCCTCTTCCGGAGGAAAAATCTCATTCACTAGACGGATTGCTGAGCAGGCCTCTCCGACCAGCCCCTATAAATCATTCTTTAATCAGAGGCCTCTGAGATTGGGTGCAGACACCCGCGGGAGCACCACTGTGACACCTCAACTCCTCCCAGTGCGTCTCTGCAGTCCTGGGAGTTTTTATCTTCTTCTGTTTCCTCCTCGGGCTTGTCTGCATTTGTATCAGTCATCAGGAAACTAAGAGGGATGACCCGCCCTGCGCTCTCCGCTCACACCAACACCCCGACACTTCTTGGAAGGGAGTGATGCCAAAGAAGACCAGGAACAAAGATTACTGGTTTGAGACTGCAAGAGAATGCAGGGTCAAGGCTGGATTACTAACTGGGCAACATCTCCAGGGCCCCGGAATAACTGGGAGCCCAACAGTGCCATAGTGGTTACAACTGGTTTGTGGTAGTTCAAGTAAAATGTGTTTGGAAATACACACTACTAAGCTCAGTATCAGTTGTCACGATAAGAAGGGTCCTGTGTTCTTCTATCAAGTCATGAGAGGGAATCCAGTGAAAATAATAGTTAGTTGTTGTAACAGTTGTTACGTAGAATACAGACACAACAATCTTTAATCAATTATCAAAATAGTTGCCAATTATTTCATTATTTAATAGTTCTTTAAACGATTTTTGTTTTAGCTGTAGTGAGTATTAACAATGACTCAATTTGTAGTTACTGGAGTATCATAATTGCTATTCTGACATTCAAAGCTTACTTTTGAACCCTTTGAAACATAATTAAGAAATCAATATCACCACAAGGTCTTTTAATATAGCTATTCTGGAGCTTTTGAGCTTTTCATCACATAATCTTCATCAGCAGAGTTGGCCTAGTTGTCACTGAATTATATATGATCAAATTTAAGAACTAAATAAATTAAATATTGTTCTTGAATTTATAATGTACAAATGTATTTTAAGGGCTGATTTTAAGCACTGAGTAATACAGAATCATCTGGCAGCTAGATGATATAGTTATATAAGTTAATACTGGAAATGGACAAACCATGAAATAAAAGATCATTTTAAGTTTTAAGTTTAACATCCATAAACTTGAATAAACAGATAAGAGACAGAAAAAACGCCCAAGAAAGTAAGACAAAAGCTCAAAACATTGGATAACTCAGCTTCCTCTGGATGGAGGATGGGGGTACTGAAAGTATTAAATCATGAATGTGTATGGGTGTGTTCCATCCTGAAGTTGGTGAAATAACCTTCAGATGAAACTGTGACTCTGTTTTGATCATTTGGTGTGGCTTCATCCCTGCCACCTACATCAGCCCCATGCAAACTCATTCAGATTCTATACTGAATCTCATCTTGCTGGGAAAATGTTCACATATGGGGACGCATTCATTATACTGAGCTTGAATGTTTACTATGCAGCAGTTGTGCCAACAGCAAAAAGAAAAAAAAGGTGAAACCAGCATGATGTGAAGTGAGTTAAGTCAGACGAGAGGTCTGAAGACTTTTTTTTATTTTGGGGGGGGGTGCTCTGACGTCACCGTGTAGAAATATTTCCTGTCGCTCAGCCGGTTTGGAGCTGTCAGAGAGCGCACTCCCTCTGCTTTACGCGATGACCATGGAGGCGTCCAGGAGTTTAACAGGAGGATGTTATTCAATTAACGACCTGAGGAGACGGGACGCCGATGGATTTTGTTAATATACTCCGCGGTGAAGTGATGGAAGTGTTCAGCAACTGACGAGGCGCAAAAGTTGTTGGTTTTTCTGCTTTTGGAGACAGTGGACAGTTCGGCCACTTAAGCGACCAGAAACAATCAGAAAGGACGGAACGAAAAAAATAAAAATTAGAAAATCATGCACTGTTCATATCAATGGAGAGATGGCATGCGTGCTCCTCTTCAGTCGACTTCTTCCCTTCTCACATCGGCTCACAAGAACATCCATCTGCTTATTATCCCTTTTCCTTTCATATTTGTGCTACTGTGCTCTGTTCCCTGCCGATACCATCATGCAACACTCAGGTGATCCGACGCCCAGCTGTCAGCGCGTCCTGGCTGATGGAGCCAAAAAGCGCATTCAGAAATCCCTGTCTTGCGTTTTGCCGTTGGATGCGCGACCGAGTAGTGTTGAGGCATCTCGGCTGAAAACCGACCAAAGACCTCCTTCGACTGTCCACAACGTCGGGAACGACACGCCCAGTCCCCCCATGGGCAACTTAAAGTTTGGGAATAAAAAGTTACCAAATGCCATCATAGTTGGGGTGAAAAAAGGAGGAACCAGAGCTGTTCTGGAGTTCATAAGAATTCATCCCGACGTACGAGCGGCTGGCACCGAGACACACTTCTTTGACAGGAACTATGATAGAGGACTGGAGTGGTACAGGTAAGAGCATGTCTCACCTGCACAGGTGAGCGTTGTATCTACCCCAATGGTTGTGTAATCTAACCTTCACATAGATAACCTCCAAATGACACCAGCCTGGTCGGGGTTTGTGCCAAGAAATCAGAGATTGCTGAAGTGATAAATTGTAAGTGTTTCTACATTGTGAAATCTGAATTACACAAGTGACTGTTTTGCAGTTATGTTAGAGGGATGAGTAATGAGCAGCCTTAATTAGTAGAAGAGTAGCCATTTGGCAGGGCTCCTCAAAGACTCCTGGGAGTCTCTGGACATTTAAGGCTGATGGTCAGCTGTGCTTGTATCATACTAAACTGCATCTGCTTGCTGTAGGCCTGTTCTCTCCAGCCTATAACTGTATGATGATGATATAATGTCACCTAAAATGTGCTATACAGTAAACCATATGACTATTTCACTTATATTATTTGGCCAATGGATGTCTAATTTAATCCCAAATTTCTAAAAAAGGAATTCAAAAAGAGTTCAGGCTACTTGTAGTTTTTCATAGTTGCTGTAGTATGTCCTTTTCTCTTCTTCTTCATCTTCTTCTTCTTTTAAATGTCTTCATAAGTATTTCTGTTCTTTGAGAGGGTGCTTCCTGACAAAACATCTATTTAAATTCTGTAGTGATGGAATTGTGTCTCTGAAAAATACAAACAAATAATAAATCTGAGACAAACGGTGGCCTTTGTCTCCTGCCAGCTCTATTAGTACAAGTGCCTCTGAAAAGTATTTTTAACGCTAAATCAGCTGCTTACCGTCAAAAATGTGATTTTGGTCTTGTCCCCTCTGTGTACAATATGTTTTGAGGTAGGTAAACATATCTGGATGTGTTTTCTGCAGTCTCTCCACTCATTTCACGTCTGTATTGCACAAAACGTTGGAGTCCTGACCTCTGTTTACATCGGCAGAACACTGGCCCTCTTTTTTTGATGTACTGTAAAGCAATTATCACATTTCTCATAAAATCCATCCTCTAGAGGCGAACAATGTAAACAGCAGTACGCAGGCCTGCTGTAGCAGGGAGGCCTGTGAGCTGTTGTCTTGTTTGTATATGGCAATTAAGCTAATATCTAAAATAAATGATGATTTATTGATTGTTAAAGTGCCACCTTTAACTAAGTGCAACATACTGAGGGAGTCGCTATATATATACAGTATATTTCAAGAAATATCAGCATCATTATTTAAACTACTTAATTACAGATTTAGACCATAAATATATTCTGGTTTATGAAATATTGTGCGCATATGTACACAAACTGACAACCAGTCACAGACAGATCGATGTCCAAATACATTTCGTGTTAATGATTGGCTGTCATGTAGCCTGCAGGAGGGATGTGTATCAGTGGTATTAAAAAATAATTATAGACTGAAAGTATCTCCACTAATTGGCAGTCTTCAGGCTGAAACCCTTTTATCTCAGAGATGTGTCTTAGAGATGTGATCTAGATGTGAACTCTCGCCTATTACCGTGGGTTTGATTGTCAGCTGTCAAAGCTTTGGAGAAAAGGTCAAATGCCTGACTGTCTGACTTTTGAGGATTGCTTTCAAAACAAACAGGTGCTTCTCAGAAACTCTCTTGTAAATACTCATCAATAAAGGCCAAACTATTGTTTTGAATAATCTCATACTCAACATGCAACGGAGTGTACTGTGCGCGTGTTTTTGATAATATTTAAACAAAAGAATAAATAAAAATGAGGACTGATAAAGACCCCTGAAGTTAACTCGCCAAGCATTGATGCATCAGATGGTGATTTGACGAATGAGAACAAATGAGAAGAAATGTAATAATGTATGAGTGGTGCTACAGGCTATGGCGCAGAGCCAGGTGGGCGTTGGAAAAACAAAATGAAAACAAGTTATTTCACGGGTTGTTTGGGTACAACAAACCTTTCAAGAATGTAAGCACAGAAAATTCATCTGTACCCTTTTAAATTGGCTCTGTCCAATTTTGATGCTCCAGTGTTTTTTGCAGCTGTTTCAATCAACATAATATCATAGCTCTTGTGCCAGCTAAATAACCAGCTAGTTTAGACAGGAAGCACCACTTACTTGTATTTGTTTGTCAAGTAGCTATTCATTGCATCATCCAAATTCTCAATTCTCTGCAATGATGCCTCGTAGCGCTGGTATGAATACAACCTGGGGGCACTAAGATAAATGGGTTGAAAACCACACTTGGACTGAACCAATCTACACCAGGTTTTTCTAGCCTACTTAATAGTCTTGCAGCCTTTTATTTTTACAAAGCTCTTGCCAACAACTAAAAGCCAGTCTGAGATTTCCTCTTCTTGCTCGGTCAGTCTCTTTTTTTCTCTTTCTAGCTTACTCCATCAGGTCTCTTTGTCCATGTCCACAGAGGCTTCTGAGCCATGTAACATTGCCCGCTCATCCAGCTCCGGTTCTGGTACGACACCGGCTCTGCTCCCCATCAGTGTTCCACCCCTGGCCTCACCCTGGGCCTGAAAACCTGTGTAAGGTGTAAATATACCAACACACCCCCGGTGCTTTGAGCTCCCAGCACTGGCATCACAGATTGAGATAACTAGCTTACCAGTAACTTTTTTTTAGCAACTAGTAAACTTTTCTATCCATCAGGAAACTCTGTAAATCACAGCGAGTTGAGGTGAAGCAGCCGGAGGACATGAGAGGGAAAAGCAGAAAACATTTTCTCCATAAATATGATGCAGTTTCACCAAAATCAAAGTTACATAGTGCAAGAACAGCTGTACGGGGCACAGTGGGAATGACAGTGGCACCATTCACCTTATTACAAGTCAGTGTAGCATCAAAATGATAGTCAAGCTGTTTTTCTATTTTAAGGTAGAAAAGTTACATAAAGTTGATTTAAAGCCACCGTGTGAAGGATCATAACATTTATGAAATGGTGACCTGTAGTGGTTGTATACAACCTGGGGACATTGAGATACATTTATTGAAACAATCTTCATCTCTTTTTCCTAAAAGTGAAAACATAAACCACTAGAATCATCTGACAGATGAAGGGAGTTTAATTTACAGGGAGAGCCGCAATGATTAGTCAATTATTTGACTAGTCGATCTACAGAAAATGAATCAACTAATTATTTTGCTTATCAGTTATTTTACAAAATCCAGCTCAATCCAAGTAGCTTTTTGTCCGACTCTTAACATTATAGTATTTTATAACAACCTTGGCACCTATGAAATAAGCATTTTCAACAGTTTTCTGATGTTAAATAGACAAAATGATAAATTGATTAATCAAGAAAATAATTGGCAGAATAATTGATAATTGCAGCCCTTTTTACAGGCTATTTTTAAACTCTGTCTTCAAACTTCAAATGTTTACTACATGAAGGCATAGAGTACCTGTTCAGTCATTTCTTCAAAGACTACAGTGGCCTAGTTTGAGGACCCAGAAGTAACCTAACAGAGTCACTCTGCTATATGTGTTCTGTTTGCATTCGTGGTGATTTATTACTCTTGAACCATGCTGGGTGGATGCACAGGAGAGCTGTCTGCGAGACAAGTTTCCTGTGACAACAGACTACTATGACTTTGCATCAGTGCTCCTATTATCATTTACATGGAGAAACTGGGTTCATGGCCAAACTGGAGCTTCTCAGTTAGTGTGGTTTGGTGTCTTTGAAACTCACTTGTGTAATCCTGCCCTAAATAGACATCTAATACACACTTTTTCCTTTTGACAGTGAGTGAATGCAAGGACATTATGTCCTCTGTGTCTGAATCTGAATCTGTCCTTTGTGATAATTTAGATATTTAAACCGACGAGGAAATAAATAAAAAAAACTCTTAACTAAAAGTAATGTGAATGTAAATGAGAAAGCATTAGCTTACTGGAACTCTTACTTTGTGTTTTCATCTTTCATTCAGAGGTTTAATGCCAAGGACTCTTGAAAGCCAAATCACGATGGAGAAGACACCAAGCTACTTTGTGACAAAGGAGACACCGCACCGGATCTCTGCCATGTCCCGAGATACCAAGCTCATTGTGGTTGTGCGTGACCCCGTCACTCGTGCAATATCAGACTACACTCAGACTTTATCCAAAACTCCTGACCTGCCGACCTTCCAGGAGCTGGCCTTCAGAAACCAGAGCCTGGGCATTGTGGACACGTCGTGGAACGCCATTCGGATCGGCCTATATGTTCTGCACCTTGAAAACTGGCTCCGCTACTTCCCTCTGGCTCAGATCCACTTTGTGAGCGGAGAGCGTCTTATCACAGACCCAGCAGGGGAGTTGGCTCGGGTGCAAGACTTCCTTGGGTTAAAGCGCATTGTGACAGACAAACACTTCTATTTTAACCGCACCAAGGGCTTCCCTTGCCTTAAGAAGCCAGAGAGCAGCGGCTCGCCCCGCTGCCTGGGCAAGTCCAAGGGCAGAACTCATGTGCAGATAGACAGAGATGCTATTGAGCAACTGCGAGACTTCTATAGACCTTACAATGTCAAGTTTTATGAAATGGTGGGTCATGATTTCAAGTGGGAGTAGAGGTTTAAGACATATTTTTAAATGGTACAAGAAAGATTTATGTATTCCACCAATGTTCTTTCACAAATGGTTTGCCTACAGTAATATGTCATCGCTAAGGCGAATAGCTAACTATCAGCAGTCTCCAGACAATTTTCAAGTGAAACAGCAGAAGCAGTATTATTCTTTGAAGTGACACTAATGAACAGAGCAGAATCTAAGATGACATTGCTTTTGCACTTGTAATGATCAGTTACCAGCGAGCATAAGCATCCTGTTTGTTGCTAGATATAGTCATCATTTCAGCTTCAGGATCACCTGATTTCTGTTCCTGTTACTGTGTACCGTATTATTGCTGACTGTATTTCCCATTTGCTGACTAGTTTATTAAAAAAGGGAACATTCCAGGGAAAGGGATTAGTTCCTCTTAAAAACCTGCTTCACTAATCAAGGCAGGGCTTGAAAGCAAGACCTTGGAAAATGTCAGTGAAATCTTCAGGGAGAGCAGAATTAAGCTGCAGCACTGTGGTGGTAAATCTGAAATGTAAAGCCATAACGCAAGTATGAACCACCTAATGTCACGTATTGTTGGTCTCATCAGTTTCTATACACGGTGAAAGGCTTTCTCTCTCATTCTTTCCAGCATGAATCGGATAAGTTAGTATTTGCTGTAACATGCAGCACTTCACTTTGTCTTCTGTGCATTATTTAAAAAATCCATGTTTATATTTTTGTTAAAAAATAATATTTATTCACTGCCTTACCCACAATGCTTGTCCATGAACTTCATTAAATGAAGCAGAAGCACAAATACATTTATGAAATTAATAATTCTGTTTCATCTGAAACCTTGACATTGATAAATTGCATTTTGCAAAAATGCATGTTGAATAACTTTTTTTAAACTCTTTCTTTGCCTTTGCTTGATTCTTATAAAACCACACCAAATGGTCTTTTAACCTGAAAATATGTGACAGAAAATTAGAAAATGGTGGACTCTGTACTATACCTCCCTTTTCATATATAGTTAGTAAAATTGTGGTTTCAACATATTAGACTACTTAGAGTTTTTACCGTTGTCACCCATGTTGCGAGTGAAAAATGAGGTATACTGCATCTGTAAGGTTTGTTGTGTGCCTCAGTGGTGGTAGGTGGATGAGTGGGTATAGGTGTAAGGAATTTCAATCACTTTTCAAAGACAAAGCAGAGAACACCTAGTCGTGGCAGGTTATCAAATAGATGCTGGGACTGCATGTCACATGATTGCAGTGAAAAGTTTGGATTTGCCTACATGGTATGAATACTAAAGCCAGACTGCCTGAGCTTGAGCCAGACACAATACTGTTAAAACAAAGGAAAAACTACTCTGTACTTCATGAGAGTATATATTATATATATTATTGAAGCAGTGTGTAAATGATTAGGCACTAAAATTCCATATCATACAACATCATATTACAGGTTACACTTACACTAAATCTACAAATAAAAGTGTAATTATTTAGTATTCAGGGTACCAAAACCAATACCAATAATAAAAGGGAAGAACGTGGCAGGTTTTAGAATCAGTGGGAATAACTGTGTTTAAGAGGGACTACACTATATGTACTTTATTTTTTAATTACTACAGTACATATTCAATGATTACGGGTTATAGTAATATTACTGGGTAACAAAGCAGAACAAAGTTAATATTTAATTTAAATATTATTATTATATTTTAATTCACATTAGGACATTCATGAAAAAACTTATATTGTTTTTACAAAGATTTTAAATATTAAGTACATGTTAATTATGTATATGTTTTTAACAATGATGAATTTCTGGGGAACAATAATGTAGCTTTGGGAGGAGCTGAATACAGACGTTTCGCTCGCATAAAAACTCTAGTGGGATTTACAGGACATAAAATATAAAGAATAGAGAGATATCCACCAATTTAAAAAAAGGCATGAATTTTGTCTTTGTGACTGTACACATCAGGAGAAAGCATTGACTATACAGTGTTAGTCTGGGGTTTGCAGGCTGTAAGATAAAGTGGTCCCCTTTCAGCACTTGCAATTACAGTGTAGTTACAGATATGGGCTGTAATGAGCTTTCTGTACCTTGTACTTACTCAAAATGTACTGGGTAATTAAAAATATTTACAGTGTAATTTAGTTGTAGGTCCCATCTTGATACAAATGTATTACTTGCTTATTCCCTGTACTTTTTCCCTTGTGCAGGTAGTATTTAATTACTTAGTATACAAAATATTTAAACTGTAATTTTGAGGCGTGTCACAGACTTTACAGTTCCAAAATGAAAACACTGAGCTCACCACACACAACAGTAAGCGATATTAATATACATGTAGATCCTACACAAGAGACAGTGGATATAGACTGTAAGGGTTCACTGAAGTAAAGAGGTATAGAACAGATCAGCAGAGACTTTATCTCTCATTATCACAAATAATGGATGTTGGAGCATTGAATTCTGAGAATCTGTTTAACTAATAATACTCATAAAAAATGATTTTGCTAGTGAAATATGGGACACATCTGTCCTTTCTGTTATCTACATACCTCAGAAGTCTAGTACTTTTATCTGTTTGAATACTACTTTTCACTGACGCTCTACTGAAATGCACATGTAACACAGTATCCTTTGAAGTTTTCTTGGTGTTTGACATAGAAATACAGAAAGTCAAGCTCAAGAAGCCTAAAACCTGTTCTTATTTTTAATCCGCTGTATGTTCAGACTATTTTTCCTCATTCTTTGCCTCTTTAGCAAATGGTCATTGTGCACTGCTAAGAGAAAAATCTTGAAAAGATGCTCCACTGTCTGTTATCCTCTCTCAGCCCAGACATCTGCTTCTCTCTCTCTCTCTCTCTCTCTCTCTCTCTCTCTCTCTCTCTCTCTCTCTCTCTCTCTCTCTCTCTGTCTCTCTCCCTGTCCTACCATTCATTAAACTCATACGACCTCCAGGTTGGGGGCGTAGGCAGTGTCGCTGCACCACCTCTGATGCCCTTCTTGTCATCATGTTCGGCAGCAGCTCATTTCTCTGGCTTACTGAGCACACACAGGTGAGCGTCTATCCAGTTGTCACAGTGAGCCGCAACTCTCTATATGGTACACATGGGTCCTAATTAGGCCTGAGGGCTAGAGAGGAGCAATCCCCTAGAACAAGCATCAGCCAGAGTCTGATTAGACTCTGCGAGTGAACGGCTCTCCAGAGATTGCTTGCAGGTCAAAACTCCCTCTCCCCTCGTCTCTCTCTCTCTCTCTCTCTCACACACACACACACACACACACACACACACACACACACACACACACACACGCTCAGCTTTCTTTTCAAATATGAATTCCCTCTGGAACCAGCCCATGCAAATCATGAAATCCTTTGCATTTTGGAGCACTATGATGTGACCTATTTGCACTCAAGCTAATGAGGTGCTTGTTAAGCTTAATGAGTATTTGTTAAAACTCATACTGAAACTCTTGTTGTTATAAGACATTATGACTAAATGAACCATTTCAAACAAATCACTATACAAGGTTATATTTAATGTGTTGTTGTAATGAAAAGATTGTTCTTATATAATACAGCTAACATCATTTCATCCTTATGGAGCAGCCTGGTAATTATTTAATGCCCAAAATACCTGAAGGAGCTGAAGGCATCAGTTAATGCTTTAGTGTTCTGTTCATGAGCTCCAGTTATTGCTGAGACTAACTAAGACTTCAAGGACAAGAGCAGACACATATTGTTCTTTTTTATCTTTTAATACTCCTTAGAGAGATTTAGAAAGAGGCTTAGACAGCTCTTGATAATAACTTTTGAACATTGTGATGTTATATTGATTAATGCTTAAAGTAGCGATATTGTGGTTGTTTTTTTTTTTACTGAAAGGGTGAAGATCAAAAGAGAAAAGCCCTACTTTTCACCCAAAAATAACTAAATAAAATCAAGCACAGTGGCTTAAACACAGACTGAAAGTGTTTAAATGTCACAGTGATGTTCTTCATGCACATAATGTAGAATCCCTGCTGGTTAATGTAGCTTCAAACATTCACTCTTTTGGATTTTTAATGAGCTTGAAAGTAAGATAGAAGCAGTGGCAAATGATTTTTTCAAAAGGAATCCTTCCCTGAAACGTTAATATTGCAGTCATTTTTACATATAATTGTTAACAATGCTATAACAATTTTGAATGCATGCCTGCAGGAAAATTCATTTTACATGCGTGCTCTATTAAAGCTGCACCAAATTGAAATAGTACACATTCACACAGCATTCCTCGTCCCTTGCTCACAATGTTCACATGAGATAGAATGAGGTTCCTTCGTATCCAAGTGAGACAGCAGCTGACACTGCAGAGGCAGAGATTCAGCAGTGTACCTCGTTCAGTCCTAGTGCTTCAGAATAGTTTAACTTCTGCAGCCGACAGGATGTCCCAGTGGTCGAAATCACCAGTGGCTTAGGAGCCAAATTAAAATGAAGTGCTGACAACTGTGGCACAGTCTGAAGTACGTAATGATACATGTTCTACAACTATTTGCAGACCAATGTTGGAACTGCAGTCTGTAGGGATGACACTTAATAAGCGTGTGCATGTGATGTGCTCTATTAAGCTTATGGAGGAAACCAGGGAAGTGAAGAAGTGAAATGTAATTCTAAATGTTGGCCATGCTACCTATAACAAAGCGGTGCCATTTTCTCGCCGATGGCCAGTCTAAAAGCACCAAAACATTTTTTTTTTTTTTCATTCAGATCTTTGCATCTATGTTACAAATCAACAGCCACTTTCCCACCCCTTTTTAACTCGTCCCCTGCTGAGAGTGAGCGGAAGATGGCAGAGATGTGAGATTTTGATGGGAGTTTGCCCTTTCAAGATTTAGATCTGTGAAATTCTGCAAAGTCCTCCAAATTAGAAACAGTTGTTCAGTGCCATCTCCTTGTTGTAGTATCCATTTGTCAGACGAGTGAGAGTCTGTTTTCTGTGGAGTAGCTAAAGTGAGGTAGAAAGCTGATTAGATTGGAGGAGCAGTCAGACCTCAGCATCTCTCTCACCAGGAGATGTGTTCTAATTAGAGTGCGTGCCTCATGTCTCACTGAGGAGAATAACAAGCCTCATCCCAAGGCTACCTCCAGATGAACCTCACATCCACAGCAAACCAAAACACATCTGATGTATCAGCAACCCCTGGACTCCAGACCACACCTGAGTCGACATGCAGTGCATTAGGATTTTGATGGGGGTTTTATATCACGTGGCAGCGCTCTCTAAGCAGGAAGCCTTGAAAAGCTGGAGCAACAATGAGGGAAACCTGGTAGAGTTGCTCTCCTGATTTTAGTGCCCAAATGATTCTTTCAGGTAGTGAAAACATCTTCAAACCCCAATCATTAGCAAAATGTAAATCAGCAGGGCATCCATTTTTAAGCTACATTTTTACCACTGAGAAGGGTGTCATATGCTCAACATATGGAGCAATCTAAAAGGAGGGACCAAATGAACCTGGATGATGTTCTGAGAGGTGTAATTACAAGATTCAAGCAGAAAAATGATCCTGCATAAGCCTGATTTAGCGTGTGCTATACTAAATTACACATCAGTCTTGGTTTGTTGTGCAAATGCCTTGAAACATCTAAGAGTATGCCGTATGGGAAAGTGTTCGAGGAGGCAGACAAATTTGATTTGAAGGGAAGTTCTGTTTGAAATGCTTCTTTAAAGGTGTCCCTTTTCCTCAAAACCATTTCTGATCATTTCACATTACCACATTAAGCTAATCACATGTAAGGCTTTTTTTCCTGGACACCAACATATAAATAATAACATATGAAAGTACCATTTAGGTGTAGATTCATGAATCTACTAAAATCTTGTTATAGTTTAACTTATTAT